CTCTCACACACATACACACACACACTCTCTCTCTCTCTCTCTCTCTCTCTCTCTCTCTCTCTCTCTCTCTCTCTCTCTCTCTCTCTCTCTCTCTCTCTCTCTCTCTCTCTGAGGGCATTGCGTCACTTCAAGAGTGCTGGTTCCGAGAAAACAAAAGTACTGACGATAATTGGCACGTTTCACAGAATGGTTGCGAACACGTATGATGTCGCAGATCTGACCGCGGTAATGAAGCTGTTTCGTAAGGAACTCAGACAGATGGACTACCCATGGAGGATATTGGCGTTCATCAGAAACTGCAAGGACACCGAAGTCTGGAATAAATTCCACGAGTGTCTTGTAGCAGAAGAAACACCAATCGTAAAATGATACAAATCCAGAGAAGATAAATATAAAAGCGAAAAAAGCATGCGACTGAAAACACCTGAAAATCACATGAAGGACCGGCAAAATCTACAGATATAATGATACAAGAATTGCCGTATTGATTTCCCAACATACGCAGTGAAATGAATCCAATCGAAACCCAGGATAAGCATAAGTTTCCGAGTACATGATAAACAAGCGGCGGGAAAATGAAAATACTCACCTGAGAGATAATGATGGAACCCACGGCAGCGCAAAGGACAAAAGCAACAAACAAAGCCAGATGCAAGTCTGTAATCCAAGACGGATATAAACACGGAGAATTTCGACAGAAATACGACCGAAGGCAAAGCAACTGAATGAGTACCGAATTCCGACCAAAAGCGGAATAGAAATAGGAACTGACATTAGCACAGGAGCGTACGCAGGATTAAGACGTTATATACAACAACATAAAAATCGACGACCACGGGAAATCAACGACGACAAGGGCATTGCAGAGCGCGACTACGGGGAAACTCAGAGGCAACGATGATGAGGACGCTGCACGGAATGAGGACAAGTAGGTGGGAAGGATAAGGAAAATAGGGTATAAATTCAGGGACAGTGGCTGAAAGGATTACCTGAGCAGTGAGGTAAAAGGTTAACCGCGACAGTTGTCTCATGCCATGGACAAGACATGTATACTGCGAAAGTAAAACCTTGCACATGTTGTCTATTATTGCAAGTGTGTATCTCAAGGCACGGTGCTTCGAACTTGCGGACGGTACCCGTGATGATCGGCACTAGATCTAAGTGATACATCTCATCTTATCTTTCTATTCTCATCTCCCATCCTCTAGTACATGTGACATAGCTTGTTCATCAGTGTATTCACCTTGTTGAACTCATTTGGCGGTTTTCAGCACGAAGTGCAGATTGTTTTTCGCGCGGAGATTCTATACAGCGATTCTGGAGATTCTCGTGCATCACCTTAGCGATTTGGAGATTGGTCTGGTTTTCATTGATCGACTTACCTTACTCATCATAGATCGACAGTGAGGAGTGTACCCGAAGGTCCGGATACTTCAGGGAAGATGGCGTGATCGCGCTCATCGTCGGACAGAAGGAGGCGCAGGCACTCATCATCGTCCTCTAGGTCGTAGGAAAGAAAACGCTCAAGACATGCGAGATCCAGGACTCCGAGAGATCGACGACATAGATCAAGATCTCCATCATCCAGGAGGCGACGGGCAGAATCGGAGTCCCGAAAGCGATTGGCTCGTCCAGAAGGGGATCAACGACGCAATGATTTCCCTCCACTGGGAAATCGTGCTTGGTTTACGGGCGATCTGAAGGAAGAAATCTTCAAGCTACGACGAGAGATGGACAAAGTGTTGAATACGTTGGAGCAACTCACCATGAAGCCAGCAGACAAGAAATCATTGCAGCCTGATAAGAACGATGGAAGCACGAAGAGATCAGAGGTGGCACCTGAAGAACAAAAGGCGAAGGATCCAGTCACCGCATCAGAGCTCAAATCAATCATTGACAGCGCACTGAGAGTAGAATTGTCGAGTACGAAGCAGGCGGAGAAAGCGCAAGTTCCGAACACACAAGCAGGGACTAGCGGAGCAGGACAGAAGGCAGCTGAAGACGAAGGCAAAGTGGAGAAATTGGTGTCGGAGGTGCAGAAAGACGTTAACGACCTCAAGCCCCTCAAGTACGATCTTGCAGCAGTAAAAGGAGCTTTGCTGAAGATTAATGAGCCAACAAGGACCTGCACACCAATAGCATCATCATCCGTTCATCCGAACCAATATCCCGAAGCAATTACTGGCTACCGGCCTCAGTACACGTTAGCCGCAACGCTCCAAGCCGCAACCTACCAAGCCGTAGCATTCCAAGTCGGAGCAAAGCGATCAAGATGAAGGCGAAGCCGAGCATGGGACCTTTTCCTCCACATCCCAAGAAGGGAAGAACGAACACACAACGACGAGCTAGAGCGATCAAGATGAAGGCGAAGCCGAGCATCAACTTCGGCCACGAACCGATAACAGACACGCAACTCCTTTGCCTACATTACACGGATCTGATGGATTTGTACAAGATGCACGATATCAAGTACAAAGACAAACCACAAGCTATATCTGAGCTGCACAGAGTGCCAGGTCTGATTGCATACAACGGACGCGATTTCAATCGTGACTCAGACCTCAAGACACAGATCATTCCTGACCCTGACAATATCAGGATCAACTCGTCCAGCTACGAAGAAACAAATGAGGAGGAGAAGAGTTCGGAATCGAGTGAGGAAGAAGATGATGACTCGTTAGACACGTCTTCAAGCACTGAAGACTTATCGGGAAGGTAAACGGACCACCGCCGGCGGGTGATCTCACCACGGCACACAAATGGGAACAAATTCACTGACTAGCAACGACGATAGAACGACTAGTGAATACGGGTAAGATAAGTGAATGTTACTCGCACAATAAACGATACAGACTCTTGTTTACTTCACTAGCACATGACGAAAACATTCCATGGGCCGGCCCTCTAGTCGACCTATGGACTGCTCAGTATCAATCAGTTAATTCGTTACTAACAGCTAGCTATAGCGTGTACGTTCTCATTTCGCCATGGTGTAGAGACATGTACGTTGGTAAGACAGGAAGGAGACCGGATAAGAGGTGGGGCGAACACGTTAACTTAGCTAGGGGTGCACAGCGAAAGTTATACAGCTGGCTATGAAAATTTGGCTGGGAAAAGTACGTCCTGATACCATTATGGACCGGAGTAAAATTAGAGGTAACAGCAATGGAGACTGTGCTAATTAAGAGACAACCCATTCTTGAACACAAGGGGCAAAGGAAAGAAAACTAAAAAAAACAGGCGAAGAAGGAGAGGAAAAAAACACAGGAGACGAATTATAAATCAGAATATACCGATATTGTTCAAATCTGTGCGATCTGGATACACCACAAAGCTAACTAAACTACTACAGCCAAAAGCGATGATCTACTGCACGACAGGGAAACTGTGGAACGAAAAATGAAAAGTAATTAAAAGAACATTTGGATCCACAATCATTGAAATTAACGACACAAAATTCCAACATAAAGAATGCAGAAAGAAAATTGAACAAGGTTGTGCATTCTGTGTAATCCAGCTAGTGCACACAGGACCCGCAACGAACAAACATAGGAATATTCTGATTAACTGTCTTCGAGCACCATGGAGAAGGAAGGATCTATATAAATTAACGTTGGATGATATTACAATTCTCTTGTCGAAAGTGGGATCAATAACAGGAAAGAAGCAGCGAGGCACAATTAAAGGGATATTCACACAAATTTCAAACAAGAAATTTGCATTCAATATTAAGAGAAGGCTCATATTCAAAATTCCGTTTGCAGCAGATATCAATCTCAGACAAGTCAGAAATGCCACAACAGATGCAATTTTGGACAATGTGCATAATAAAAATTTGGCTAAGGATTTAGCATCCCGCATGAGAGTGATGTTTAAAAAATCTAGGACTGTTGGCGAGATGTTGCACAATCACAGGCAAGTGATGGAAAAACCACCTGACTGTGAATGCGCTACCTCTCGACTACCAAAGATGGATGATCATGTTGCTTGCAGATTGAGCGAGATTACAGACAACCAGTTGATATGGAATGCAAGGAACGTACCCCATGTTAATGTGAGAGTAGGAAAAGAAGAAGTATGAAGGACAATCCTACTCACCATAGCAAGTATACCTCGAGACATGCGAAAGACAAAAGAGAGAAGAATAGATGTTTCAGGATGCATAAACAAAAGGAAAGACAAAAACGAAGGAAATTATCTAGATATATCTGAAGTCTAGAAAGTTAAAAAACAATTGGGACAGTAGATCCTATCACCCCTAGATAGGAACTATGGGGAAACGTTCGTTGAATGTCCAAAAGCTTGGTACGATAAGACAAATCATTTTTTCTTGAAATCTGAATACTATGAAATCATTCAGCAGATAGAATCTGAAATTCTCCAACTAACAAAGAATACTTACCAAGGATGTGGACTGGGAAAGATTGCCAAATGGGATGAGAAAGGAACATACGGTAACGCATATACAATTCCCAAGGACAAAGATGTAACTAGACGAAGGCCAATTATACCAACATATAACGAACCTTCACGGAAAGCATCGAAAATCCTGTCAAGAGCAATAAACTTCATGTGCAGAACATGGAAAGTTGGCTTCTCATTACAAGGAACTAATCAACTTGTTCCAAAATTGAGGGAATGTAACAAGACAGCAGGAGAAATGTATGGACAGAACGCGGAATTGATATGCGCCACGTATAACGTTAAGGACATGTTCTCTAACCTAGATCATACACACATTCTTAACGCCATGCAATGGATGCTAAAGACTGCAAATGAAAAACGAAAAACGCACCTATGCTATAAACAAAGAGGAAAATACATCAACTTCGGCAAAGCGAATGGTACCTACGAATGGAGAACGATTCAAATTGAGAGTTTGATGGATCTACTGTATTATGACATTAAACATGCCTACTTCAAAGCGCAAGGAACACTGCTTCGACAAGTTAAGGGTGTACGTATGGGAAAGGGATCCAGCCCACCTATAGCAAACATGGTGTGCGCATTTGATGAACACAGATGGTGTGGACTTGACAGGAAACTCATTCACGGCATGAGATTTGTCAACAACGTGATGATCATAATAATAGCAGATAAAGAAGATCGAGAGAAAGAATTGAGATGCATGGAATCGTTCAAAACATGTTATCACCATTCACTGAAGCTTGAATCAACATCGGAAAAGGAAAGTACTAAATGGACATATCTCAAAACTATGATATCAAGGATGGATCACGAACCCCTTCTGAAGTGTACACATAAACTGAAGAACGAAGCAACACCCCAGGAGGGGTTGTTGAGTTCTCTCTCTCTCAGGACATTGCGTCACTTCAGGAGTGCTGGTTCCGAGAAAACAAAAGTACTCACGATAATTGGCACGTTTCACAAAATGGTTGCGAACACGTATGATGTCGCAGATCTGACCGCGTAATGAAGTTGTTTTGTAAGGAACTCAGACAGATGGACTACCCATGGAGGATAACCAAAGACGATTTTGGCGTTCATCAGAAACTGCAAGGACACCGAAGTCCGGAATAAATTTCGTGAGTGTCTGAAAGAAGAAGAAACACCAATCGTAAAATGATATAAATCCAGAGAAGATAAATATAAAAGCGAAAAAAACATGCGACTGAAAACACCTGAAAATCACATGAAGGACCGGCAAAATCTACAGATATAATGATGCAAGAATTGTCGTATTGATTTGCCAACATACGCAGTGAAATGAATCAAATCGAGACCCAGGATAGGCAGTTTCCAAGTACAGGATAAACAAGCGGCAAAAAAATGACACCTGAGAGATAATGATAGAACCCACAACCGCGCAAAGGACAAAAGCAACAAACAAAGCCAGATGCAAGTCAGTAATCCAAGACGGATATAAACACGGAGAATTTCGACAGAAATAAGGCCGAAGGGAAAGCAACTGAATGAGTACGGAATTCCGACCAAAAGAGGAATAGAAATAGGAACTGGCATTAGCACAGGAGCATACGCAGGATTAAGAGGTTATATACAACAACATAAAAATCGACGACCACGGGAAATCAACAACGACAAGGGCATTACAGAGCGCAACTACGAGAAACTCAGAGGCAACGATGATGAGGACGCTGCAGGGAATGAGGACAAGTAGGTGGGAAGGATAAGGAAAATAGGATATAAATTCAGGGAATGAGGACAAGTAGGTGGAAAGGATAAGGAAAATAGGATATAAATTAAGGGAATGAGGACAAGTAGGTGGGAAGGATAAAGAAAATAGGGTATAAATTCAGGGACAATGGCTGAAAGGATTACCTAAGCAGTGAGGCAGAAGGGTAATCGCGACAGTTGTCGCATGCCATGGATAGGACGTGTATACTGCGAAAGTAAAACCTTGCACGCGTTGTCTATCATTGTCTCTCTCTCTCTCTCTCTCTCTCTCTCTCTCTCTCTCTCTCTCTCTCTCTCTCTCTCTCTCTCTCTCTCTCTCTCTCGTTATCGCGCCCCGTTATCAGGCTTCCCTTCTCTCTCTCTCTGATACACGCACGAACACACAGTGAGGGGGAAAAACGCAAAGATGACCTGGGCCACTAGGGGTAAAACGAAAATACAAAGGGCCTGGGAAAAGTTGGCAAGTACGGGGACATTTTGCAAACATGGACAGTACCCGGTAGGGGTATTTTGCAAAGATGACAGGTCCAACCGATGCCAGGGGCATTTCGCAAAGCAATTTTTGTGTTAGAGGGGTATTCCACTCTACCCAGATCTTTTAGGGGCATTTTGGCATATATCTCAACTTATAGGGGTAATTCGCAAATTATCCCAAAAAAACAAAATCAATTTTTTTGAAAAAAAAGTATGTTGTGCAGAATAGCAAACCAAACAACTTTTGGCTGAGGATCACTTCCAAATTCTCCACAGAATTTGAAATAAAAATAAAGTAATGTAAGTGCGAGGCTCAAGGCCTCGATGAGCCCTACCGGGCCCTGTTTGCAGCAATATTGGCCGCCCTAAGTGAAGGCAGGCCTGACCAAGGACGAGAGGCCTATTTCGGGCTTTCCACGCAACTGGGAAATTCAGGCAATTGCGCAGCGCCAGTTGGTTGAGAGAACCCAGGCCCTGCCTGCCTTTTTCAAATGTATCTGAGGCAGGCCTGGGCTAGACACGGGACATGGACTGCGCACAGACCGCTGGCAGTTGGACATGGGTAACCACCCCAGGCCCTGTGCCTGATTCCCCTGGACCGGGGCTCAGCCACTTGGGGGCCTCCCGGAAGCTTCTGGGCAGGGGCGCAGTGCAGCCAGGCAGCACGCAGCAGGCAGGCCATTTCCATATAGGAAAGTGCCTGCCTCCTCATTTGGCATTCGGGCACTTGCTACATGCTATCAGCTGGCAAGAGCCCACGCACTCACGGGCGAGCAGGGCACACGCAGGCAGCCATAGCCGAGCTGGCCTGCGAGATGCTAGATGGGGTGCATGGTGGTCCTTGGGTGCACGTGGCATCTGTGTGGGGGATCGAGGTTGTGAGTGATGCGTGAGACATACTTGGTGCTTGAGGTGAACGGCATTGGCCAAGATCTGCTTGTACTTCGGGGAGCTGTTGACGTCACCAGCGGCATTGTAGATAGGCTAGATAGGATCTGCCATTCGTAGTCTGGGCACCGAGCGCCAGATAGGAAGTTGACATTGGTTCATTGTTGATGATGATGAGACTATTCCAACATTTTCACGTGTGAGCTTTTGCTGTGCTCTTATTTTGGTGGAACTCCAGTTGCAATTCTGCTTTTGGGTCGCGGCCACGACTATCTGGTTTCATGTGTATGATGCTGCTTGGTTTCTGGAATTCGCTATCGCTCATTTTCCTTGCATAAGGAAAATCATATCGCCCCCTTTAAAGGCCTTTCAACCCCTTTCAAGCCCCTTTAAAACCCTTAACACGACATGAACCAAGAAGAACAAAAGACCTGATTTGGGTCCCTCTGGGAAGGCACAAAAATGCCCCATGATCAGAAGGGAAAAAAAAAAAAACGTTTTAACTATTTTTTTTAACTCGCCCGGGTGACCCGGGCAAGAGGGTCCAAGTTGCACTGGCCCGGATTCCCAGCCGGGCGGCCGGACCTGTGCCGGTCTGGTAGCCCAGGTTCCAATGGCATTTGCCAGTTTTTTTTTTGTCTTCTATGGGAAAATGTGCTTCACAATGTCACATTTCTATTTTTTTCTTCTTTTTCTTTTTCTACTTGTTTTTTCATTCCTCCACGGACTTGAGATATCATCCATCCAACTGACCGGCCCAAGGTAATTCATACTCGTAGCATTTTTATGATTTTACTCATCTGCTTCCAGTGGACTCAGCACATCTATGGGACGCTGGACCCGGTTTCCAGCAGGTGTTGCTCCCCACCAATAGATGGAG